ATGTGACCTTGAAATTGACCGTTGACCTACTTTTCACCATGAACTGAACTTTGCAAATTTTGCTTCCCTTTTATCTCCCAAACTGGCAGAGATAGGTCCAAAGTTACTTTTGAAGTTGAATAGGAAGTCATATACTGGCAATCTTACTGTGAAATTGACCTTTCACCTACCTTTTGATGAACTTTTGATATATTTTTTTTGCATATTTTGAAAATTCTTGTTGATTGCATTTTTACAGCTTGTCAAGCAAAAGACTGGTGGCTGTGTCCCCTATTTTGTGTATGTGGGGGTCTATACGAATGCGCTTGCTCCAGCTGGTGGTACAATATTCGGAGGCGGTATCGCCTCTCTGATCCTCTAGTTTTTTTTTTTTGTTACCAGTTGAAACAATAAGATAAAATTGTTTGAAAAGAAAAGTTCTTGACATAAACCTGGATGATAAATACTATGCAAAAAGTCTCATAACAGGCAAGTAATGTGCATTATATGTTTTCTCAAACAAGGTATTGATTTACTGGCATTTACATCAATTCCATTGCCATTCGTAATTCTTGTGAAGTCCAAGGTGCAGTTTTAGCCAGTCAAGTACATGGTTGTTTTGGTAAATTGAAGTTGTGGTTAGAATAGCAAGAAGTAAGACTAACAATTAGGCACATATACTCAGACCTCCTTCACAGCATCCTTGTCTCTGCAAAACTATAATATTTCTGGGGAGAAGTTGAACCTTTGGTATGGCTGTAAACAATGTGTAAAGGACACGCTAAGAATCGTTAAGGTGTTTGTAACATTCAAAGTGTTGTCATATTCTGTCATATTCTCCTTTGCTGACAAGTGGTATCATTGACTTATACCCATCTATGTTGTAGCTCACATAAATGTGTGGCAAATGCATGTTGCAAAATGCTTCTCAACATTTGTGATGGTATATTTTAATATATTAAAATGTTGTGATACTTACAGTAGATGAATAATCAACTATGCTATTTTGACATATTTTCACAAAGATTGAAAATAGATATCTGGGTCATTTGCTCAAATTGCAATACGCTGTGAAAAGTTAGTCCATGTCAAGAAGACAAATTAATATAAAAAAGGGTAAAAAAGGTTGAGCTGGTAATTTTGAGTGGAAAGGCCCTTTTAATACTCTTAGGCACTGTTTTGGTTTTCACATATTTTTTATAAAACTCCAGAAGATTTGGTTAATTTTATTGAATGTGAGATGTAGTCTCATCCCAAATTATGAAAATTATCCTACAGCTGGTGCTTCGAACAATAAGACAAGAGGATAATGCACTAGTGTTTCGCTTACACAATCGTCTGTATTTTAATATGCTTCACTGCATTCCATGTGAAGTGCAAGTGCAAATCATCCAATTTGTTTCGAAGTGACAGACATGGGATATGTCAGTTACAACCATGGCCATCAACTATGTGTAACATACAAGAGCTAATTATATGCTGACCAAAACTTCCAATGCAACACATACAATTTTGAAATATTCGGTGTACATAAAATGGGATATTGGTTTTGATCCATGATACATCAACTACACCTTAAAAGCTCAGAAAATTGTTTTGATTTTGTCATGTGGGCAGCTTGTTTTGTTTGATTGCACTTTGTTTAGAATTTGCCTATCTCGTCTTGTTGAGTAGAACTCTTTGACCAGTCCTTCCAGAATTTGGTCATTAAATAGCAGTAGTAATGGGCAACTTTAATATTTCTCTGCATTTCCTTGGTCAACATGTGACCATGCCACGCCTAGGTCAAAATCAGCGAGAACAAGCCCTATGTCTGCTCACTGGCGGAATGTCGCAAAGACGGGTTACAAGGAACCTTGGCATCCATGTGTCGACCATATCATGTCTCTGGGGCTGATATAATAAAACAGGAAGCACCAGTGATTGTATTCCCCAGATTTAAATCCTATAGAACATCTATGGGATATTCTGGTTCACGGGGTGAGAAGCCGTGATCCAGAACCGGCCACAGTCCGACAATTGCTTCAAGCACTCCAGGACGAATGGGACAGCATCACACAGGTTGAAATTCGGCAATTGATTAACTCCATGCATGGCATAATCCAGGCTGTGTGTGATGCCAGAGGATGCCACACAAGATACTGACTTCAGTGATCCAGAATTGTGCCTCGAAACCAGAAAAATCTGTTCTTCATTCCTGACTCTGAAACTGTGTTTTTGATCTGAATCTTTGTTACTCTTTATTGTTAAATTTAGCATAAGAAAATGACATGTGTTGCAATAAACCCAAGTGTTGCGTTGGAAATTTTGGTCAGTATATTGTGGCTTTGCCTCAATATAATTACGTTCTTGTAGGTTGCATATAGTGGACAACTCCCGTTGTACCTAGAGGCCATAAAATGGCATACCTCATGTTGAGACTGGCACTTAGATTAGTGCATGCCTTTTTTTTCCCCGTTGGTGATCAAGATGAAATGATTCACAGGTCAGGTGTGAGCAAACTAATTGCATGGCAATGGTAAACCAAAAATACTTGACACCTGTACTAATTGTCCTATTGTCCTATTTTGATTGGGGTCATAAAATCACTGGGGTCATGATCCTTATGTACCCTTGCTTGATCTAAGAAAGGTGTCATGTTGGAAAAATACCTCTGTCACCTTAAAAATGATCCCGACTCAAACAAAACAAGTGTGAAATTTGATCTTATTTGTGTAAAAAGGGGAGCTAAATTAAGGCTTGGTACAAGGATACAGTGTAAGATGAAGTGCAATAGATGTTGCAATCTAAATAATAATAATAATAATAATAATAATAATATTCAAGTATTATACAAAATATGTGTGTTAATTATTATCACAATACCAGTGTTATCTCAGAAATTAACTGAAAGCAACAGCAGGCTTTAATATCCATTTTTTTAATCATTTCCATTGCCTTACATGCACTGCATCAAGAATCTTCTGTTTCCACAATGCAGATAAGATGCTGATAAGATTACTTTTTATTTAAATCTGTAGTTGTATTAAGATCCACCAATTTTTTTATTTTTCTCTATTTTAGTATATCAGCAGCATTTTTTCATCACGATGCCAAATTATTTTGAAATATGTATATATACAAACCTAAATTTGTTTACATTACTGCCAATATCATATCCTATGAAATTGATTCACAGGATTTAGTGACATGGACAATTTAAATGAGAACACAAAAGATGACCTACTACTTTACCATACAACTTGTATCCAAATTACCTGTAGTGTCCATACCTCTACCACATACACCAATACAGCCACTAATACAGTTTCTAAACTTATGATGTGTTGAACACAAAGTGAAACTGACAGCTTAAAAAGATGTCCAAAATTATTAACAATTATTAAAACATAGATTTATTCAGTACAACAGTCACAGAGTGGTACACTGGATGTATTCTTCATGTGGTGTTAATACCCCTGTAGCATCTGTACCCTTGTAGTGTCTGTACCCACGTAGTGTCCGTACCCCTATGCAGTGACAATATTTTGTTTAAATGCCTGTTGAGCCTTGATGAATTTAAGATAAATCAAATAATCAAGAAATTACAGAGTAAAGCTAGAGATTAAATGAATTGTAAAAATTTATTTATCACCCATTCACTATATCTGAAATTTCTGGAAAGACTTTTTTGACATTATTACTAAAATTGTTTGTCTTGACACTTTACATATATTTCACCTATATATCTACAGTATTTTATATGAAAAGCAACTTAATTACATTGAGTCACACTTAATATTTAGTGTCCATACCTCTGAAATACCATACTAAATGATATCTTAGAATGTGAGTTGACTCAATGATATTTGTGAAGATTTTGCTGCACTTAATACAAAGTTGCAGATTGGTCTTGAATAAAAAGGGATTTCAGAAATTACAGTTAAATTTTGTTCGAAATGTCCACCCTTGTTGATACTGTTTGATTGTGACCATGATGATTATTTTGTAAGCAGAAGATTGTGGTCAAAATTTATGGCTTCTTCTAATACATAACTTCTATATGAAGCTATAAAAAATAGGGTCAAAAGGTAGCATTGTCTTGGTTATAATAGAAGGCTAGTGATTGATCGATAATTCTACATCTTTTGGCAGTTCTCTTGAAAAAAAGGAACTTCTATATGATAACATGAGACTGTAATGACTGTAATAGTTTCACAGCTATCCATCCAGGCACCAAAAGCTCATAGCAAGGTGTTATGTGCTGCAGGAAATGTATGGAATTCAAGACGGTGGAAAATTGGTTAAATTTGTAGTATTTGTAGTAAAAAGCCACGAAGAAAGATGCATGAAATTAATTAAATTTCTATTTAAAGCAGTCTGCTCTGGATTATTCCTGTCAAAATTCCTTTTCAGCACATGGCTTATTGACACATAATCTGTGCTTGCAGGAAGTGTGAGATGAATGTACCTTAATTGGCTCTGTTATATATATATATATATATATATATATATCTGTGTGTATATTGAGAGAGAGAGATGTCAGTGAGATTTTACCAATTGATACTTTGTATACTACTTTTTGTCAATATATACATATTACTGCATAGATGTAGTGTTAATATCTTCCCCACCCCAAGAAGTATGTATGCAAGTCATGAAAGACATCATTGAAAAACACAATATATGGGTTGATTTTGTTTGGTTGCTTAAATTTATTAAGCAAGTATGATAACTAAGTGTTTTAAAAACGTGTTGACCAAGAAAGTATGATAACAAAGTGTATTGAAAACGTGTTGACTTTTGCGTGTTTGCACAGAGACACTGTGCAGTCTCTCTTATTACTCAGCAATTGTCTGGAACAAAATAACCCAGACATGGTGTGCCGCACTTACATGCGTTGTGCTTCACATAAGCTCGAGTTACATCATATCTGGGGCTTTGTCAGATTCACCACTGGTTTGTAAGGTGCATGAGACATTCCTCGAAATCTAAGATGTTCAATTAATTACTGACTAATGAAGGAAAACATGTTGGCTGCAGTTCTAATTTTGTGCTCACTTCCCGTTACTTCCTGCTTTGAAGCTTATTATGTACATGTCACGAAACTGGCACAAGTAATTGGTACAAAAAATGCAAAGTTGTATGCTGGTGAATGCTTATTTGATACTTGATTCTGAAAATAGTGAATTAATTACCATTTTAGAAGTAATGTTACTTCATCAGAAAATTTTAATTAATTTCCAGACCAAGATTTGGCCAAAAGAAAAAGGGTGGACTGCTTCCCAACCTTGCTAATGGAAAAGATGCTTCTGTAATGAAAAAGGTTTGTATATTGATTTTTTACTATTGGCATTTTGTAAGGATGTCTTGCTCACTAAAATACATACATGAAAAATTCAGCAATCTGACAAGAAATATTCTATTAATTTGTATTGCTTGTTTTTGCATACCTAGTTCTAATCAGTCATACCTACTAAGTGCTTACCTGGTTCTGACATGAAATTTATTGTGTCTGTGAGCTGTTAACCACTCTGTCTCAAGAAGTGAACATCTTGCAGTTTATATTTCATGCTCCAAAAGCAACCACTGAATTTTAAAACATTTTTCATCTCTTCCTCATTGCTGTTATTTTCCACTCAGTACAAAAATCAACATGGAAACATGCTTACCCTTTTTGCTGAAAACAAATAAGCCAAAAAAACATTCTTCCAAATTAATGACAAATAGTACTTTTATATACATTTACATGCATGTCCCCCCCTCCCAATGACTCATAGTTTAACAGTATCTTCTTTATTGCTGAAACATTGAAACATTAACTTTGCTACATGTAGTCTTCTTTTGTGGATATTTCCTTGAGTTAATAGACATTTGTTGAAAGCAGAGCATAGAGTTAATGAGATAGATGTTTTTCTATTCAGTGGACTTCTTCCTTATGTTTGCCTATTGTACCTAGAACAGTGCAGGTGTCATATAACAAGGAAGATGATCAGAACATCTGTCAAACATCAACGAGAATCATGTGAATTTAACTTTCAGTTATTATTATTTTTATTATTATGTTCTAGACAACAGACAAGGAAGATTCATCGCTTGAAGCAAAGCATTTTGATGGCAAGAGCAGCGAGGCTGATGGCTCAGCGGGAGTTTTGTCATCTGTGCAGTTATTAGCGAAAATAAAAGCAAGAAATCCTGTGACGTCGGCGTCACTGACTAATGACAGCAATTTAGTTAATTCCCAGGAAGTACATGATGATGACCTAGCATTGTTAGAAGATGTCAGAACATTTATTGCCTTTCAATGTGCTGTTGATGGACAAGGAACTACAGAAGAAATATTACAAAGGTTCAAGAATAGACTTCCTCCTGAGAATTCTGCCAAATTCAAAGCCATGCTGAGACAAATTTGTGACTTTACCAGATCAAATGGCATTGGGGTTTGGTCACTAAAGCCTGAAATGCGATAGAAGATGAGCTCTTTTTCTGAATTCTGACTTCTATGGCTAGTTTAAGTTGACAAATTAAAGTTCCTTAGATTCAGTTTAGATATTGTCTGGTCAAAGGTTTTGGCCCTGCAGCTGAAGAGAAATGAAAGTTTTTTAGACTGATGTACGCAAGAATAAAATGTGAATTAACAACTCTGACACTCAGGGTATTTATTTATATATATTTTTTGTACATTAGCATGGTTTGTTCTTTTTTCTTTTTTTTTACCTGAAAATTCTGATTTTTGTATAATAGATGGGATGTAGTTAGTAAGTGATGGGATGTAGTTCATAAGGTTTGTTCTCGATGTTTGATAAGGTTTTACAGTTATTGGCTTTTCTTTGGGTAAGATGTGGTACGTCCAGAAAATGGAAAGAATTGAATTAGCCCATACTCTTCGTCCTCTATTTGTAATAAAATTACGAAAATCCAAGATGTGTCTTTATTTCATTTGGAAATGTTTTGTGTATGTCATGTATTATGGGCCATGTTTTTTAAAACAGTTTTTTAAAACTATTAAAATAGTCAAATGACCTTATAATCTTCTATTTAAAGATGACAAGAGCAGAATGTGGTCAATTTGGGGATAACTTTTATTGAGAAAATATTTATACAATTAATGATGATAATGAATTCTTAAAAACCACCGCGCTCATTTTAGAACAGTTTGTTATATGAACATAAAATACAAGAACTTAAAATCCTAAGACGTGTACCATCAACCGAATTACGAAATACACTGTAAAATTCTAAAAAAAATGTCTACCAAAATTGCCAACTGCTGCCAGCTAGTTAGTGCAGGTGAAATGAAATTATTTTAGCAATTTTTTTTTCAAATTCTAAAGCCCAGTACAGTANTCTCTGATCCTCTAGTTAAAATTTGATGTTGAATTTGCAGTTTAACATAATGTACTTTTGCATCAGAATTGACAGTAGCCTATTTTGTGCATAGTTATTTCCTGCTTTTTGTCTGTACATTTGACAGCTTTGCTGCCTTGTTTTTTTTTTTCAGGTGATGTGTTGTTGTGATGCAATGATAAAGATTAATATAAAGACATTTATTATTAATTATATAAAAAAAAATGTTGACAGCCTTGAAAAGTCTAAAAGAAATAGATAACTCTGATTCAGTAGAATCAATTTCTATGTTACTGAATGGAGAAGCTTGGAATCTGTTGAATGATGATATATAACAATTAAGAAAATTTACAGCCCCCAAAATCACACATGAAATTGGTAATAATTTAATGATTATAAAAATGTTTCCCTTTTCTCCAACTATGAGTATAAACAAAAAAATTGTAGTTTCTTTAAGGATTTTCAAGATTACCGAAGTTTAATCTCGATGGTAATATTTTTTTTGGTACCAGTTGAAACAATAAGATAAAATTGTTTGAAAAGAAAAATCTTTGACATATACCTTGATGATGAATGCTATGCTAAAAGTCTCTTAACAGGCAAGTAATGTGCATTATATGTTTTCTCAAACAAGGTATTGATTTACTGGCATTTACATCGATTCCATTGCCATTCGTGATTCTTGTGAAGTCCAAGGTGCAGTTTTAGCCAGTCAAGTACATGGTTGTTTTGGTAAATTGAAGTTGTGGTTAGAATAGCAAGAAGTAAGACTAACAATTAGGCACATATACTCAGACCTCCTTCACAGCATCCTTGTCTCTGCAAAACTATAATATTTCTGGGAAGAAGTTGAACCCTTGGTATGGCTGTAAACAATGTGTAAAGGACACGCTAAGAGTCATTTGTGACCTTCAAAGTGCTGTCATATTCTGTCATATTCTCCTTTGCAGACAAGTGGTATCATTGACTTATACCCATCTATGTTGTAGCTCACATAAATGTGTGGCAAATGCATGTTGCACCATGCTGCGTTTTTTGGTTCTCAACATCTGTGGTGGCATACTGTAATATATTAAAAGGTTGTGATACTTACAGCAGATATATAAGCAACTATGCTATTTTCACGTTTTCACTAAGATTGAAAATAGATATCTGGGTCATTTGCTCAAATTGCAACACACTGTGAAAAGTTAGTCCATGCCAAGAAGACAAATTAATATAAAAAAAGGGTAAAAAAAGGTTGAGCTGGTAATTTTGAGTGGAAAGGCCCTTTTAAAACTCTAAGGCTCTATTTTGAATTTCCCATATTTTTTATAAAACTGCAGACGATTTGGTTAATTTTATTGAATGTGAGATGTAGTCTCATCCCAAATTATGAAAATTATCCTACAGCTGGTGCTTCGAACAATAAGACAAGAGGATAATGCACTAGTGTTTCGCTTACACAATCGTCTGTATTTTAATATGCTTCACTGCATTCCATGTGAAGTGCAAGTGCAAATCATCCAATTTGTTTTGAAGTGACAGACATGGGATATGTCAGTTACAACCATGGCCATCAAATATGTGTAACATACAAGAGCTAATTATATGCTGACCAAAACTTCCAATGCAACACATACAATTTTGAAATATTCGGTGTATATAAAATGGGATATTGGTTTTGATTCATGATACATCAACTACACCTTAAAAGCATACAAAATTGTTTTGATTTTGTCATGTGGGCAGCTCGTTTTGCTTGATTGCACATTGTTTAGAATTTTGCCTATCTCGTCAGGTTGAGTAGAACTCTTTGACCAATCCTTCCAGAATTTGGTCAATAAATAGCTGTAGTGATGGGCAACTTTAATATTTCTCTGCATTTCCTGGGTCAACATGTGACCATGCCACGCCTAGGTCAAAATCAGCGAGAACAAGCCCTATGTCTGCTCACTGGCGGAATGTTGCAAAGACGGGTTACAAGGAACCTTGGCATCCTTGTGTCAACCATATCATGTCTCTGGGGCTGATATAATAAAACAGGAAGCACCAGTGATTGTATTCCCCAGATTTAAATCCTATAGAACATCTATGGGATATTCTGGTTCACGAGGTGAGAAGGCATGATCCAGAACCGGCCACAGTCCAACAATTGCTTCAAGCACTCCAGGACAAATGGGACAGCATCACACAGGTTGAAATTCAGCAATTGATTGACTCCATGCATGGCATAATCCAGGCTGTGTGTGACGCCAGAGGATGCCACACAAGATACTGACTTGATCTAAGAAAGGTGTCATGTTGGAAAAAATACCTCTGTCACCTTAAAAATAATCCCGACTTAAACAAAACAAGTGTGAAATTTGATCCTATTTGTGTAAAAAGGGGAGCTAAATTAAGGCTTGCTACAAGGATACAGTGTAAGATGGAGTGCAATAGATGTTGCAATCTACATAATAATAATAATATTATTATTATTATTCAAGTATTATACAAAATATGTGTGTTAATTATTATCACAATACCAGTGTTATCTCAGAAATTAACTGAAAGCAACAGCAGGCTTTAATATCCATTTTTTATTCATTTCCATTGCCTTACATGCACTGCATCAAGAATCTTCTGTTTCCACAATGCAGATAAGATGCTGATAAGATTTCTTTTTATTTAATTCTGTAGTTATATTAAGATCCACCAATTTTTTATTTTTCTCTATTTTAGTATATCAGCAGCATTTTTTCATCACGATGCCAAATTATTTTGAAATATGTATATATAAAAACCTAAATATGTTTACATTACTGCCAATATCATATCCTATGAAATTGATTCACAGGATTTAGTGACATGGACAATTTAAATGAGAACACAAAAGATGACCTACTACTTTACCATACAACTTGAATCCAAATTACCTGTAGTGTCCATACCTCTACCACATACACCAATACAGCCACTAATACAGTTTCTAAACTTATGATGTGTTGAACACAAAGTGAAACTGACAGCTTAAAAAGATGTCCAAAATTATTAACAATTATTAAAACATAGATTTATTCAGTACAACAGTCACAGAGTGGTACACTGGATGTATTCTTCATGTGGTGTTAATACCCCTGTAGCATCTGTACCCTTGTAGTGTCTGTACCCACGTAGTATCCGTACCCCTATGCAGTGACAATATTTTGTTTCCATGCCTGTTGAGCCTTGATGAATTTAAGATAAATCAAATAATCAAGAAATTACAGAGTAAAGCTAGAGATTAAATGAATTGTAAAAATTTATTTATCACCCACTCACTATATCTGAAATTTCTTGAAAGACTTTTTTGACATTATTACTAAAATTGTTTGTCTTGACACTTTACATATATTTCACCTATATATCTACAGTATTTTATATGAAAAGCAACTTAATTACATTGAGTCACACTTAATATTTAGTGTCCATACCTCTGAAATACCATACTAAATGATATCTTAGAATGTAAAAGAGTTGACTCAATGATATTTGTGAAGATTTTGCTGCACTTAATACAAAGTTGCAAATTGGTCTTGAATAAAAAGGGATTTCAGAAATTACAGTTAAATTTTGTTCGAAATGTCCACCCTTGTTGATACTGTTTGATTGTGATCATGATGATTATTTCGTAAGCAGAAGATTGTGGTCAAAATTTATGGCTTCTTCTAATACATAACTTCTATATGAAGCTATAAAAAATAGGGTCAAAAGGTAGCATTGTCTTGGTTATAATAGAAGGCTAGTGATTGATCGATAATTCTACATCTTTTGGCAGTTCTCTTGAAAAAAAGGACCTTCTATATGATAACAAGAGACTGTAATGACTGTAATAGTTTCACAGCTATCCATCCAGGCACCAAAAGCTCATAGCAAGGTGTTATGTGCTGCAGGAAATGTATGGAATTCAAGACGATGGAAAATTGGTTAAATTTGTAGTATTTGTAGTAAAAAGCCACGAAGAAAGATGCATGAAATTAATTAAATTTCTATTTAAAGCAGTCTGCTCTGGATTATTCCTGTCAAAATTCCTTTTCAGCACATGGCTTATTGACACATAATCTGTGCTTGCAGGAAGTGTGAGATGGATGTACCTTAATTGGCTCTGTTATATATATATGTGTGTGTGTGTGTGTGTGTGTGTGTGTGTGTGTGTGTGTGTGTGTGTGTGTGTGTGTATATTGAGAGAGAGAGATGTCAGTGAGATTTTACCAATTGATACTTTGTATACTACTTTTTGTCAATATATACATATTACTGCATAGATGTAGTGTTAATATCTTCCCCACCCCAAGAAGTATATATGCAAGTCATGAAAGACATCATTGAAAAACACAATATATGGGTTGATTTTGTTTGGTTGCTTAAATTTATTAAGCAAGTATGATTAAGTGTTTTAAAAACGTGTTGACCAAGAAAGTATGATAACAAAGTGTATTAAAAACGTGTTGACCTTTGCGTGTTTGTACAGAGACACTGTGCAGTCTCTCTTATTACTCAGCAATTGTCTGGAACAAAATAACCCAGACATGGTGTGCCGCACTTACATGTGTTGTGCATCACATAAGCTCGAGTTACATCATATCTGGGGCTTTGTCAGATTCACCACTGGTTTGTAAGGTGCATGAGACATTCCTCGAAATCTAAGATGTTCAATTAATTACTGACTAATGAAGGAAAACGTGTTGGCTGCAGTTCTAATTTTGTGCTCACTTCCCGTTACTTCCTGCTTTGAAGCTTATTATGTACATGTCACGAAACTGGCACAAGTAATTGGTACAAAAAATGCAAAGTTGTATGCTGGTGAATGTTTATTTGATACCTGATTCTGAAAATAGTGAATGAATTACCATTTTAGAAGTAATGTTACTTCATCAGAAAATTTTAATTAATTTCCAGACCAAGATTTGGCCAAAAGAAAAAGGGTGGACTGCTTCCCAACCTTGCTAATGGAAAAGATGCTTCTGTAATGAAAAAGGTTTGTATATTGATTTTTTACTATTGGCATTTTGTAAGGATGTCTTGTTCACTAAAATACATACATGAAATTCAGCAATCTGACAAGAAATATTCTATTAATTTGTATTGCTTGTTTTTGCATACCTAGTTCTAATCAGTCATACCTACTAAGTGCTTACCTGGTTCTGACATGAAATTTATTGTGTCTGTGAGCTGTTAACCACTCTGTCTCAAGAAGTGAACATCTTGCAGTTTATATTTCATGCTCCAAAAGCAACCACTGAATTTTAAAACATTTTTCATCTCTTCCTCATCGCTATTATTTGCCACTCAGTACAAAATCAACGTGGAAACATGCCTACCCTTTTTGTTGAAAAAAAATAAGCCAAAAAAAAAACATTCTTCCAAATTAATGACAAATTTATATACATTTACATGCATGTCCCCCCCTCCCCCAATGACTCGTTTAACAGTATCTTCTTTATTGCTGAAACATTGAAACATTAACTTTGCTACATGTAGTCTTTTTTTGGTGGATATTTCCTTGAGTTAATAGACATTTGTTGAAAGCAGAGCATAGAGTTAATGAGATAGATGTTTTTCTATTCAGTGGACTTCTTCCTTATGTTTGCCTATTGTACTTAGAACAGTGCAGGTGTCATATAACAAGGAAGATGATCAGAACATCTGTCAAACATCAACGAGAATCATGTGAATTTAACTTTCAGTTATTATTATTCTTATTATTATGTTCTAGACAACAGACAAGGAAGATGCATCGCTTGAAGCAAAGCATTTTGATGGCAAGAGCAGCGAGGCTGATGGCTCAGCGGGAGTTTTGTCATCTGTGCAGTTATTAGCGAAAATAAAAGCAAGAAATCCTGTGACGTCAGCATCACTGACTAATGACAGCAATTTAGTTAATTCCCAGGAAGTACATGATGATGACCTAGCATTGTTAGAAGATGTCAGAACATTTATTGCCTTTCAATGTGCTGTTGATGGACAAGGAACTACAGAAGAAATATTACAAAGGTTCAAGAATAGACTTCCTCCTGAGAATTCTGCCAAATTCAAAGCCATGCTGAGACAAATTTGTGACTTTACCAGATCAAATGGCATTGGGGTTTGGTCACTAAAGCCTGAAATGCGATAGAAGATGAGCTCTTTTTCCGAATTCTGACTTCTATGGCTAGTTTAAGTTGACAAATTAAAGTTCCTTAGATTCAGTTTAGATATTGTCTGGTCAAAGGTTTTGGCCCTGCAGCTGAAGAGAAATGAAAGTTTTTTAGACTGATGTACGCAAGAATAAAATGTGAATTAATAACTCTGACACTCAGGGTATTTATTTATATATTTTTTTGTACATTAGCATGGTTTGTTCTTTTTTCTTTTTTTTTTTTACCTGAAAATTCTGATTTTTGTATAATAGAAAGCTTAGTAAGTGATGGGATGTAGTTCATAAGGTTTGTTCTCGATATTTGATAAGGTTTTACAGTTATTGGCTTTTCTTTGGGTAAGATGTGGTACGTCCAGAAAATGGAATGAATTGAATTAGCCCATACTCTTCGTCCTCTATTTGTAATAAAATTACGAAAATCCAAGATGTGTCTTTATTTCGTTTTGAAATGTTTTGTGTATATCATGTATTATGGGCCATGTTTTTTTAAACAGTTTTTTAAAACTATTAAAATAGTCAAATGACCTTATAATCTTCTATTTAAAGATGACAAGAGCAGAATGTGGTCAATTTGGGGATAACTTTTATTGAGAAAATATTTATACAATTAATGATGATAATGATTCTTAAAAACCACCGCGCTCATTTTAGAACAGTTTGTTATATGAACATAAAATACAAGAACTTAAAATCCTAAGACGTGTACCATCAACCGAATTACGAAATACACTGTAAAATTCTAAAAAAATGTCTAGCAAAATTGCCAACTGCTGCCAGCTAGTTAGTGCAGGTGAAATGAAATTATTTTAGCAATTTTTTTTCAAATTCTAAAGCCCAGTACATTACAGTTCGGAAAATTACCAAAGTAAGATTTTTATACGTAAGTGTTCTGTTTAGTCTTTTCCCTGCAAATCGGACTTTTAAGGTGATAAAACGCCTGAAATAAAAGTGAATGACATCGATATTTACTTCTGAAATGTCAGGAAAAATATACCGGTCCCAATGTGGAGCCAGACATCTAGAACTAAATTAGTTTGGAATGGGATTAAACATCGAATTCAAGTGCTGGGACGGATCGAGCTTCCACCCGTAAGTAGGAGGAAATCGATTTTCCTGAAGGAATGAGGTAATACCTGACAGGATACATTCAAAAGTCAATTTAACCATTTTAGAATTAGTATAACATCGTTAAAAAAAGAAAATTGCAATATTTCATTTAAATTTCAACATCCATTTAAACAATTGAGCGCATGCATATGCAGAGGCAATTCATTTTAGAAAATAGTGGAGGGGGGGGGGGAGGCACGGTGACCAGAAGTCTTAGGGGTATGTTATGTTTCGTCTCTTCAGCTAAATGTTTTAGAAAATGTTAGTCTGTGCAAAATTCACGGATACCATGCCAGCAATAACTTGATGGGAGATATCTTTTCAGTGACATGCTTTCAGCAGGAAATCGGTGAGATGGGATTGCAGATACCATCCAACTGATAACATGCAAACTCGCGTGCAGCATATCATTTTACACAACCTTCTTCCTAGAACTAGGTTGAAGCCCTAACTTTTACTAGTTGACGATCCCATTCCTGCATCTGGTCGACACAAAATTTACTTGACGGGAATACATAGAAGTATCGAATTTTTTCTTCGTTTGGTTGACATATAAACTTTTTACGACTTTTGAGATAAACCAAAATGCTTAGTCTCTCTTATACGCCGCAGACGCACACTCTATTATATTAAGTGCAACTGTATTTATTGAACTTATTTTCTGGTTATGCGTCAATGATTGTATACGACTCCTCCCATGCTTTGTTTCTCTTGGGGAAAGACCTCTCCAGAATCGATGACTCAATTAATAAAACGAGCTAATATGCTCCGCTGGCAATTCAAGAATAATGTCCCTTCGCAAGTTTCTAATGTATGGACACATGAACACAAAATAGTGTCTTAAGTTCTCAAATAGGTTTCTGAACACGAACTTGAGCGAACTGGAACGAACTAAGATAGCTATAAAAACATAGTTTCGACCCGAAGAAAAATTACCTATAATGCAAGTAAGTTTTTAAGAGACCAAATTCACCCCCCCCCCCCAAAAAAAAAAAAAAAAAAAAAAAAAAAAAGAAAGAAAAAAGAAATCCTATCATGGGTCTACTTATCTCAAAATAATCGAAACGGGTGTGACCTGAGTGAAGAAAATAGTATTCGTATTCGTCCTTGAAGGATTTTGAGCGTGTCCTTGTTACTCCCAATTTGAGGATATCTTAATCAAGCAGAAAGAAAAGAGATGTTGAATCTTATCCTCCGCAGTCCTTGAAATCACAATACTGGAATATTTATTCTCAAATATGCTCTTATTACGATAACAGAGTTAATGAAACAAGCAAGCTATAATTGGAACGCAAGAATCCAGGTGCGTGCACGTTAACAGGTATATATGGGACAAATTATTAGAGCGAAATAATCCATTGAAACGGATTTTGGTTGCTTTTTGTCACTGCTTCCTTGATGTCCAGTATCAACCTCAACTAGCCATCCATAGATATTCAACGCAATGCATAGCTTTGATCTACTCCCTTGGATAGATGTGTCATAGTGGTGATATCACGGCCTTTCGTTTTAGAAACTTCCACATTTAAAACAAAAGTATGTCAATGTTTGGTAAAGATTGTTCAAATGTGTCAGTTATAATGATATTACATGAATCTATAAATGTATTTTACTCATTGGAAAGAACTGTAACCTAGTTTCAAAGGATGTTTTCAGTTTTTAAAAGGATTGAATAACTTTTTTGCGGCTTCATCTCCTACACAATGGGCGACCACTTGGCGCCAAATACTCCGAGGAAACTATACACTACCTTCATTGTAAAATGTCAACTTTAACACCCTGTACCAGCCAGCATTTTCTGGCCATTTTTAAAACTCATATTAATTCTCGCAGCAAAGGCTTTAATCAATCACAAAACTACCTTTGTTTTCCAACAACCGAGTTGCGCCCACTTTGCAATACAGTTTACATGCCCATTGATGACCTGTCCCCGCCTTCTATGGCGAAGATGTTGAAATCAGTTAATTGATCTCAAAGTTTCTCATTGTTTTTCTAGCCACGCTTGGTAAATATTATGGTTCAAACTTGTTGATGTACGCCCTCACTTTGTTTGGTCCCTCCTATCATCAGATTATTACAAGATCCCTGTGAAATGTGAATAGTAATGATTCTGTGGTAATCCTTTTCCTGACAATTTTAGGACAAAAGTTTAAAGGATATGCGGTAAAGTCTTTTCTTTTCTAAAAAAAAAATTGATTCTGTGGTTGTTAACCATGCTATAACTTAAAATGCAATGCATGGAAATAACATTTACAAGTAGTACATGTACAAATATTGAAACTCGAGATCACGCCTTCAGGTTTATCAGAAAAAAAGTGAATCTTCAGAAATGAATTTCGGACTGGATGAATGAGAGTTAATAGAATGTACCAGAAAACACACTTGGAGTAATGAATACGGCTAAATTGACATTGGACATACAATATTAAGAGCGCTACCAGAATCAGTTCCATGGAGTACGTCTTTAGGGGAAAGGCGTATGTAACAAAAAAATTATTGATTTTGCGGTTTTTATGACATATCAGTCAAATGATATTTAGTCCCGAGTTAAAGTAAACAAGAAGGTGAAGTGAAGGACAAACAGAAATTCCAAATGCTAGTCTAACTTGATTTGCATTCTCTTCCCACTCTAGGTACCGCAAGCTATCATCCTTGAGCGACACTTTAAAGAAACTTGTTCATTTTATGACTGTAAACATATTATCATCATCATAATTATCATCATCAATTTTCCATAAACTTAAAGACAATATATCCGAGTTCTTTAATCGCCAACTGAAGACTAACAATGAACTTTAAAATCGGATTTGATACAGTGCGGCGGTGGTCAGTAAAATGCCGTTTCAAATGACATGCCTTTGTCACATCGAGCGGTACAGTTTCTTGTACCGCACCAGTTTTGCTGGTCCTAGTATGTAAAAAATTAAGCTACGGATGTTTTTTTTTCTTTTCACAAGGCCTAATGCAGGAATCAAAGTCAATCCGCATGCCCTAAATTTGAATAAATGGCATAAAATATCTTTATCTCCGCCGGTGTTTTGTATTTCGTTTGCAATTAGTCATGTTTGATATGGTATCGGAAATAAAATGCACTATTTAGAATGGTTTCTGCTGTCAGGAGAATATTGGTAAATAATATCACATGGGATTAGAGGTGTGAGTTCTTTATCAAACCGTTTCATCTTTTTGACCAAGAGTGTATGTAAGAACACTTAAACCACAAACATACATGCATGCGTATCTCTCACAAAAAGTCCATTTGCACACAGTTATCTTGTACACTTATTTATTTCTCAGAGAAGATCTTTTTTCTCACGTGGAATTTGTTCTCATGGTTTAACGATGGTGATAGTAATAGTAATAATGATGTAATTTCATCATAGACTGTTTGACATTTCCACAACTCTATTACGCTGTCATAAAAGTCCGAGTCGTAAATGTCAACTGTGTAGCATTGCTTTCCGTCTAATCAAAAAGTGATATTTAAGAGAAAATGGGGAATCACTTTAATACACCAGGGCTAGAGTTCATAGAATTTAGAAGGTAAAATGGAATCCATAAGATTTGTTGGTCGCGTGCAAATTTTACAAGGCAGCGATGCTGTCAGATGTACAGGTTGATATCAGTAGGCCTATCATAGCTGTTTAAAATATCAGGAAGTACCAGGAGTGAATTTATAAGGACATTATATGCTGCATGAAATTAATGCAGAAGAGAATGCTTTATCAAAGTTTTTTTTATTGTGTAATTGATCTATTAAAATTTTCTTTGACTTTAGAAATAAATAAACAAACAAACAATTACCACATAATACAAAAGTACTTATGTAAAATACTCCTTACATACTCCATACTCCTTTGTGTGTGTGTGTGTGTGTGTGTGTGTGTGTGTGTGTGTCAGACATTTGTAAGTATATAGCTTCCCAGACACGAAAAATTAATCAAAAGGATTCGAAATTGAAACCATTGCAATTTTGTATCCCGAGAGGTTTTAAGCAGGCCCCAAAGACTGCCACAGTATTTAAGTGAGCGTCTTCATTCCGGAATAACATTTGGTTCCATTTACAAACACAAGTAAGAACAGATTTTGTCTTATCTAAAACGTAGACGTATTTTCATGTATTTACTTTTTCGTTTAACAAAAATCCTTTGAAATGATACGCATAATAAGCAGTAACTGTAAGAATGACCTTTTTCTTTATCAAACTGTTTCATCAGCAAAAATGAGTTAACTGAACTGTATTAGACTCTATTAGACTGCACAGTGGGGATTTTCACATTATGCTTTAATTCAAACGCGTGCTTATTTAACGTTCCCTAATTATTTAAGATATTCTCAATAACCTTTATTCCATGTCTGTGTTAAGAAGGAATGAACACAATTTTTTTTATTAATTCTTATGTCAGAATTATGCCATGGTGGTATTGTCCCTCCCTCGGTCGCTTGCCTATTCCCATGATCTTTGGAGATGCATAACATTTGCACAAGATATCCGAATATCCTGCCAAAATTTATTTTGGACACGGTCCACCAACTTCCCTAGATAATCATCGCTAAAATTGAGCATATTTCGGATTGGATGTTACCCAATGTGGCTTCCAATATGTTAGTCCGAATCTGATTCCCAGTGTAATTGTGTTATTGAGATGAAACCATATTCCAGGTTTTTATTCATATTTTAGTCACATCAGTGCTATGAATCACTGTAAGTTTGAGGGACGGAAATGACCGTACCATATATATATTACTCTGTTTTGGATTTTAGGCGGCCAACCTTTCAAAACATACCTCTAAGATTCCATGCGACTGTCTCTCGATGTGAAAGCCATATATCCAATGTCTTAAAAACATAGAAATTGATCCTACTAGTATAACATACATACTGAATACGGTCTGTAATTGTCGTTGTTATGTGAAACAAGTTTAGATCTCTGTTTTTGTGCATTAGGATTCGTAGATTTTTATCATATATGTAGGCCTATATTTTTAGCCATTTTTTTCACACTTGAAGGGGAAAGCGAAAAGGTTGGTGATCTGGCACAGCGATGCCGAACAATGCGTTTGTACAAGTATGATACGCAGCATTTTACTAAAAATAAACGTTTCAAAGCATGTGTTTCTCTACAAAGTCACTGACTGGAGTTCCTGGAAAACAGTGCATTTTCAGAAGGTGGTGATGATAAAACTGTTCGACGCTGTTTTGTGTTTTTTAAATACCTATATGTACCTTGATTCAGTATAATTTTCAAATTTTGTTGAAAGTCGTCAGTAATTAAGAAAGACATCATACAAACGGCTGCAGTGGGATGCCAGAGGTAACTTGGCATGCATAGCAAACTATATCTATAACTCAAAGGTATTGTTGCTATTAGGGGAAAAACAGATTAGGCATCACCACCTCTCCTGCGATTAAACGGCACATTCTGATTAGTTTGAAACACCCCATTGTTGAAATCTAATAAAATCTTAATAATAATATTAATGAAATTTCCTAAATAAATTTTATTGAAATATGAATAATATATCACCTGAATTGCCAAATCTTCTCCTGATTTCACAGGTCTTGCGTTTAGTAATTTATTTCTCAATGGTACACTGCATCAATTCACAGCACGTGGTGCATCATAAACACAACAATATTACATAAGCTTCTTTTAAGACAGATTAACACATGCGCACATTCTATTCAAACCAAACAGTTTTCAAAACAAATATGCCCCATGAATGTTGCAATCACCTCTCGATTTCACCGAAAAGAAGATTACTTAACAAAGCGTTATTTCTCAGAACACGAAACTGTTTTCTGACAAAGCCGCGCCCATCGCGGTCTGTACTTCCACAATTCATCTCGGATTGGTTCGCCTTGTTGCAATCGATTTATGGCACCCGGCAAACTATAAATACCACAGGATCCAAACGAAGACACAGACTGCACGGCAGTTGTCATACTGAAAGCTATATCGGCGAAGGTACGCACTGATAGAAGCCAATAAGTACACAGAATTCTTCATCTTTAAAGGTAAGGACTTTTTATATGAAATTCAAGATTGAAGTCACGTATATTTGTTTCTTCCTGGGAAGAGGTCCGTCGGTTTGATATGTGTATTATAAAACTAGATCTTGCTGAAATCTCAAGACACTAGCAATGAACATATTACACATCGCAGCTGTCAGCTGTATCAGCATTGAGGTTTTCTATGATCCTAATATTAGAATGTACAAGTTTGTTTTTTATAATCTACATGCATTGACCAGCTTAGAGAGTTGGACGATGGATAAGCATGGTTTCTTAAATACAATAGATCCATACGCCGGTCATATCTTACATGTATTTCAACTCAAATTTGTATTAAATTTATGGTATTGAAAACATTGTTTTGTAAAGCGATAGAAAAAAGTTTTTAAAAAATACTTGCAATGCTCGTTGATGGAACCTTAATTATTTCTACCTGAGCGTTCAGTTTACATTGTGTGCAAGCAGTATTCGCGTGCAGTGATATAATTTCCTCTAAAGGATTTCAGTAGGAATAATTACTCCTGTTCACTATTATGTATACTTTAGTTGTAACTTACATGATATTTGTGTTTATTGGTTGTGTAGCTATTTTTGCAAGAGGCAGGTGCAACTTTTTTGAGCAATGCCGCCGCCAAGGCTCTGAAGCAAATAGTTAGCTTGGTCGCCATTGTGTCAACTTATTAGCGTTTCTTTCGTTCTTTGGCAAAGTTTAATATTATTTTATAAGTTATTCCGGTTGTTCTACAATGTAACAATTGAAAGCCAGTGGTAAAGCTGATTAATACCCTAAAAAAACATCCTATTGGTTTCTCAGTTTGAATGTCAAGTATTCTTTCTAAAAAAAGAATCATTCGAATATTACCTGTTACGTTAAGTTACATGAGCATAAAATAGCACCGAAAATAAGGTTCATATCCTTTTATAGTGACGGCTGTCTACATATTTTTTCAAGAAAAGGAATAATCAATCGACCTCTGCCCCAAATAACTTAAACACATTATTGTTAGTTAAGATTAACAAACGACCCGTTTCCAATTCTAGGTGAAGATTTGGTTACACCCTCTGGTACTGTGCTTCTAACAGACGACCCGCCACCATGCCTAAGCCACCGATGGTCAAATGTCCATCCACGGACAGTGCGATGGACAGCAGCAAGGCGCAAGAAGGCAAACGTCATTACCGCATAGTTATCCTTGGACCGGCCAAAGTGGGGAAGACGAGCATCATCTCGCAATTTCTATACGAGAATTTCCAACAACAATATGTTCCAACGGTGGAGGAGCTCCACAGAAGTCATTATGAGATAGACGGAATGAAATTAACCCTTGACATTATCGACACTTCAGGTGAATACGAATTTCCCGCCATGAGGAGACTAAACATTTGCAATGGGGATGCCTTCGTTTTAGTCTATTCTCTAGCAGACGAGTCAACTTTAGACGAGGTGAAAAAAATCAGACAACAAATTTTGGACGAAAAGAAAACTGATGAGGTGCCAATAGTTATAGTTGGCAATAAGTCAGATATAGCAGATAAAGAACGTGAAATGCAGCGGGAGACGGTTGAAACCGTAGTAAACATTGACTGGGGGAATGGTTACGTTGAATCCAGTGCACAGAATAATAAAAATATTGATGAGATCTTCAAAGAGCTCTTAGTGCAATCTCGCATTCAGTTCCAGTTAAGTCCGGCCATAAGACGTCGCAAACGGCAATCGGTCCCCAATTTATCAAACAGGAAAAGTTTCAAACAGACATCAGGGTGTATTATATCATAAGTGTAAAATTCACCAGAACTGATATAAGAATTGAACTTTAATGTACATATGTAAAAAGTAATTTTTTTCGTAGAATTGTATGTTCTGACATATCCTTTGATTGTATAAATCAGATTATAAATAAGATTGAATTCCGTTAATGCTCAATTGTCAATTGTCGTTGTGTATGTAATAAATAATCAATCATAACGCCTTGTTGTTAATGCCTTATCTAAATCAGTTATGTGTCAAAAGCCTTCTAACAGTAACACAGTTAAGTCCTGTCTTCTTATTTCCACTTGTAAGTCTCTCAGGAATGTGACAACCTATCCCTTTCGTGCCTCTTATTTGTGTAAATATACAAGTGCATCAACGTGGCATATTTGCCCACACAGAACATACTAACAAATTTCAACGTAAACCCACAATTTTTGACCATATAGAGTCCTACAATTCTACAAGAGCTAAAATACTGCAGAATAGAACACGGCGAGGTTTACCGTTTTCTGCTAGAACCGTGATTTAAGTCAGATTAAGCACTCGTCACTAAGCTTTGCTATCAGTCTGCAAGTCCGCGACCCGTACTTTATCTATTACATTTGCCAACGCTTTCTATATTACAAAAAAAGATGGTCGCTGTTCAAACTTTACAATACTGGCCCACAGTCCCCCTTTTCGACCAATCTATTGTGTTAGAGAAGAAAGCTGATCGTATACTAAAATTATTAGTGTTAATAAAAGGAGACTGGGTGAAATGATATTACAGAAGAATTGCTATACATGATAGAGATTAAAATGCATCAGAATTTTGCCTTGTTGCCCAACAATGTTAAATCTTTAAAGTCAACATGTGTTTTACTAAACTTTTTATTATTCGTCAATTTCATGATGAACTATTCCTAAATGCATTCAAATTTCACAAAGTGACCTTAAGTAAAAGTAATCAGAAAATAACAAATTTGAAACTTGACCCGCATTTTGCAATACAAAATCTTCAGTAAGTTTTAATTAAAGACAAAAATAAAGCCGATTTAACAAATACCACATAACTTTCGAAGCTAACCTGTACTTTTTCGAAGAAAACTCCCCAGTGAATATGAAATAAAACAAGAGAAATCTCTGTCTAATTATATTGAGACCGAATGTAAAATGAATACGAAATTAAATGTTTCATAGAGTCAAATGTTTCATATAGTTTCATAAATACTGGCCGCGTACTAAAGAACCTCGTTTGCTTCCTAATGTTCTTTCCTATGCCCTATGTGATTTCCTCGAACGGCCATTTCCAGTATGTACTAGGGGGAAAAATGACCAGGCGTCAAATATAAACAGCACTGAGATGCAGTATACAAGAACAGAAGCTTTTTTTAAAACTATCAACAACCCACGAATCCCCATGACTCTGAACCAATAACCGGTCAACTAACTTCCACATATGTATCGTCTCTCTCGTCTAATTGCTGGAAGATCTTATCTTTACACAAGGGTTGTCATCAATCTGAAGCACCTTTATGCGCGTGGGTTCTTTGCACGTGCGCAATTGAAACAGAGACTCAGTTCTTTTTTTTTTTTTTTTCATAAAAGGTTGCATGCACCTTGATTCTTGGTGTAAGAAGCTGGACAAAATCATCATTACCTATGTTGAATTTTAATTTCTATAGTCATAACGTTTCTTATTAATTTAGTAGTACATTTACAACAAGTAAAGACTAGATCTTCTGATTGTTTTAAGCAGCCGGCTTTACCGCCAGTTTATTCTTTTTATTCCTTTTAAGATTAAACAATCAGGATTAACTTCAAGAGAACAGTTTTTTTTTTTTTTTTTTTTTTTTTTTTTTTTTTTTTTGCAATGGTGGCATAGATATGTATGGACAGATGAACGGATACTTATCAAGCCCGATTACGGCCAGGACCGTTTATGAAGAAGTTAAAATTAAGAGGAAGGCCCACATTGGATTTAAAAGCCACCGAATGGTAGATTTGCTCAAGTTAAAGCTAGGTTTTAGCAGGGTTTTAAATAAAATCGTTAGAGTTAAGTTTCAATGTGCATCAAAGAACTGTGCGTGACATACTGTTTGGTTTGTACCTAAAACAATGTTCATACTGTATGAGATGTTGTAGCTTTAACGCATGCACATGATGGGATGCCTGCAATTCGACCAACACAATTCTGCATATGGAAACTGCTTTATTTGTAGTTTTTAAGAAATAGCATGCACTGCCTCACCCCATCAGTCGTGTTTAAACTTGAAATAACCACAATCAGGTTAAGAGCATTTCCATGACAGTTTGATTTTATTAGTTGTACGTATTACACGTGATACCCGATATCAAACACACTTGCACGAGAGACACTAAAAGCTCTCCTGGGTTTAAATTAAAACTCACGCGCTATTTGTCGTGCTGTACACTTATTACCTAAAACAAACGTTCGATAAGAACGTCACGTGTAAGACAATCGCGTGAAGGCATACTAATCAGTGACTTATCCAGAGTATTTTCCAATCTCAATCCCTCATTAACAAATTTAGTTGAAATCTTACGACGACGTGATATATGCGTTACAGAAAATATTTTCCTGCTTTTACAGGACTATTAGATATTTAAACCACTAACTGCAAAGTGGTAAATGTAAATGTGTGGTATACGTTCCCCAGCATATTGGAAGTTTTCAACTTTGAACTAATAATATTGCTTTTAATTTCTATGGATAGTAGACAGCATACAGTACGTGTTAGTAAGGACCCGCCAAAAAAACCGTTGTTTCAGTTGTTTGACGCGTTTTAGGGGTGTTTGTCACATATAATATGGGGTAATTAACCAACGTGCATTCTTTAGTAGAAAGGACAGATGCAATAATAAAGAAAATACAAACCCATTCTTTGTCGCTATTTTAACTGTCCCTGAAATACACACATTTTCAACATTTTCAAACCTTGATGAACTGAAAAAACCTTGAGGGCATTTTCAGGAGCCTTTTCAATGGAACATCTGTCATTCACGCCTCTTATTTACTTGCAGCGCATGTCTAAAGGCCGTATAATTAATTTTCCTCTTAATGTTTATATTTTAACATTTTGGCCGCATTTTCCGTAAGGCTTGGACCTTGGTAATGTTGACCGACACACAAATTAAAGGAAAGTAACCATTTTGATCAACAATGAATGTTGGTTGTGTTGGAAGAAGCATAGTCTCTATTGCATTATCTAGATTGCATTATCTATCATTATCTAGATACATAAGCGGTTTCTAAGCACATTTCCTTTAAATTGTAGTCGATGGTTTCCTATAAAATACACGGCAGTAAAGCTGATTTATAGTCTTTGGACTTGAAACATAATAATCTATTGCTGTACCCATAAAAATACCATCCCAGTGAGATGGCAAACCCCTTGCTTCTGAGTAGTTCGCGTAAAACTAATAAATTATCGTTTTTTTACCAATAGATGAAAACTTAGATTAAATTCCTTTACTTTTAATGTCTTTGTGACTTCAGTTCATTAACGAAGCAAACAAAAATACGTGGCTGATTCCAAGTCATGAAACAACCATTAAAGGGTTATTTGAATCTCCATATTTTCCAAATTATCAACTGTTAAAGAGGTATACACCTTAAAAAGGACACTCATATCAGTGTCTAGTCACAGCAACGGCGAGCGGTGCGTCTGGTCTTATCTGGGTTCTACCACTGTACCAGGGGTGTCAAGCGGCAAGGTAGGCCTATTCCTTCCGGTATGTTGATCTGGAATAACATGCCAGCCATCATCCGTACCTTGTCCGAGGTGGTTCATATTTTTTGTAGGACCAGTAGAGCGATAATTGGGGGAGTGGTTACTAACCTATAGGGTGTCAATCTTGCGACTTTGATGGCCGCGGTAGCATTCAAACTGGATTATCTCAGAGCGCATTCAGAACAGCGGACCAACAGATCCACGGATCAAATATGGTGTCCCACTAAAAAGCTTATAACCACTTAAAATTCCCGATTAGAGACGGGATTACGCAACAAGCATTCAAGTGGGTCGGTCATATTTGATCCGTGGATCTGTTAGACCGCCATTCTGAACGCGCTCTCACAGAAGGTAATATTGATTTTGTTTGTCAGTTGGATTTACCAGACATCATAACAACGTGTTTACAAGACAATCGCGTGAGGGAATGTTAATATAGGGCCTATACATCTCCCAGTCTGCTGTTGACAATTTCTCATTAACGACTTCAAATGAAGTCTACGAGAAAGAAAGATACATAGGCCTATGCGATTAACATTTTTTTCCTGCTTTCACTCAAACTCCATAGTCACTAGATTGAAATTTCTATGAAATGACCTCACACACTTGCAGCAAAATGGAAAAAAATTATTTCGCCCGCCTAAAAGAAATTAAAGGCTTTTCATTTTTATGAGCCCGCATATGTAGCAAATCTTTTCATATTTAAAACGACTTTCAAACAGGGCACTGCATTCATACGGTATTTTAGGTCACTAGATTGCAGATAACGCTGAGAATTTGTCTCAGCTATGACCTAACATTTGAGAACCTGGCAGAAACTGGACCCGACTCGTCTCGTAACCGTAGGCTTTGTGTTAAGTCTTGTCTACTTTATAGCTTGAGGTAAGTGGACATAATGTCTACCAAATCGTAACAGGATGTGCGTGTAGTTTGTTTGTAGTTGGCTGTAAATTGTGTAAATTGCATAATGTTAAAAGAGCCGCAAATTCGGTCAAAGAATTATGGATCAACTTTGCCTCTATTCTTTATATCCTTGCCATCCTCCTTGGTTGAAGGTAATCTCCCGTGGCCTATTTTATGCTCTTGCAGTGTGCGCGTGCCTAGTCCCTTTGACCCCCAATATGTATAGGGCCTACGATAGTGAATCAATCACTTCTTTTTTAGGCCATTCACATTAGAAAGTTAACCGCGGTCGAGTTTCCTCTGTTTGGACGTAATTTGACTTTTTGTCCTGGGACTGTTCTGACCTAGCTGAATCTAGACAAGACGAACAAGAATGTATTGTGCAGAACACCTTTGCCCTAATAGGATCTATAGTTTTGAATTGATTTGATCCCCATGCATAAAACAAGGCAAAGTAAACATACCGGGTTTTTTGTATGATCCCATGTAAAACAGGGCAAAGTAAAAATATGTTGTACAACGTAATGTAATTTTTTTTTCATACAGTAAAGCATCTCATATTCACCATGAGTGAGAGGCAGACAACAGATGCGTTCCCAGGGGTACAGAAGACGGAGCCAAAACCTGAGATTTTCACTGTCCCCCCACCTCAGCCCAAGAAAAAGAAACCTGGTCAGCTCACTGCCCAGCAGGTCAAACAATTCTTTGAAGAGGTAGATATTATAGTGAATAGGTTGTTATCAATTTGTTATCAATTTTTTATTGTATTTAGAATCTTTTAACACTGCAAGCCACATGAAAATTTTCTTCACTTTTTACTTATACTTCTTTGTATTCTGGCATAATTTCAAAATAATTTAGTTTTTACATTTCTCCAGGGCTATGTCGTTGTAGAAGATTTCTTTACACGCGAAGAACTTGATGCATGTAGAGACGCTGTGGCGGGGTTGGTGGATGATCTGGCAAAGAAGTTGTATGATGGTGGGAAGATTAAAAGTAAGGATTGCACAGGCCACACCAAGGAGGAATATTAGTGTTTTTAGCATGCAGACATGCCTTTTAAAAAATCTTTTACCCCAACCCCCTTCAAGTAAAATCACAGAGCTGCCATTTATGTTGGCTAGGACCTTATAAAATAAGTAATAAATATTTGTTTTAGCTGGAGAAATATACTTTGATGTTAATATTCATTTTGCCAATTATCATCATTTTAATTAAAACTTCATCCTTCTTCATCACAAATACACCTTAATTGACATGGAAACCAAATCCCTCTGGCAGACAGAAACTTGCATATGAGGATGATATACTTTCATGTTATTATTTTTGATAATTTTGAATATTTGTCTGTTAAAAAAATCAGACCACCTTATCAGCAACATATGTGGTGAAATTACATTGTATCTAACGATATTTGCATCAGGTGTTTTGTCGTCTACCTAGTGAAATGAAAATGATCACTTGTACCTTGCATTGTTCCTGTTTATGGCACAATTTTCAAATTACATGTATTTTTCATTAACCCTTTTTCACAGAATTGACAAACATGGGTTTGTCTTGCAGTATAATTTGGAATGCTGTGTGCTCATTTCATTTGAGTAGATGATGAGATTTTGCAGCTGTTTCAATCAGTATTTCATATCAGTACCAGCAATCTTTTACCTTCTTTCTACTAGAACTGTACAGAGACCAAGGATTGTTCACCAGACTGACAGCCATTGAGAAAGAATTCCCTGGAGCTAACATTATTCTCCATAAAAGCCAAAACATGCCAAAGGTAATCATTTTCAAAATCACACAATTAAAATCATTGTGCAGTGGAAAGTGCCCTATCACTGTGCTGCTATAGGCATTGTTATAGCTTTATTAACAGGTTTCCAACTAGGACATTTCGTGACACATTTAAATTTCTCATATAAGAAGTATACTCTACAGCTTTCTTCAAAATGTAAAAGTAAACACTTGTAAGTACTTAGTTGCAGGTTAGTCAAAGTCACCTTGAGTTTCAGACTAATTCTTTACTGTCAGCACACCCCTGCGGTTCACAGTTTAAAATGCATATATGGTAAATATTTTATCTTTTCAATAAACGAAAATTATAAAACTTTCAGATACATAAAAATTATGATTACATGTACCGGTATATAGAGCATTTTTGGTGCTTTTACTGCATTGAAAAGAAAAGAAGTATTGAGTAGCCTGCTTTTCAATTTTACTGCTACCACTCAGTAGGATATTCTAATTTTAAAGCTTATGACTTATAATTACAGTATCTTTAAAATTTACAATTTCCCCCATGAAAAAGATCAAGTGATTATTGTAGTTGGTTTCCACCAACCTGAAACTCAGGGTTGTTAAACAGCTACCAGTGCTTTGATCTCCAAATGTTTCTGAACGAAATGGTCTAGATTAAGATTCCACGTTATCAATTTAGGCAATCCAGGAGCTTTGGACCAATGAGCGCCTGCTGAATGCTGTGGAGCAACTGATTGGGCCAGATATAGCAGGCCATCCTGTGTGGAATCTGCGTACAAAAACACCCAAAAATGAAGCCACAACTGTCCCATGGCACCAAGGTACTGGTACAGACAGTTTTCATTTAAACACCATGGATCAAGGGCATTTAAAAAAAGTGATATGAATTAAATAGTCAAGTAGCTTTTGCTTGCAGATGTGCGGAAAACCTAGGGCACGCTGAAGGACCAGAGGACCTGCACTACTGTCTACAAGACTACAAGTAATCAGCAGGTCCTCCCAATTCTGTGCTGGGCCTAACTATTTTATTTCTGTTGGTATATGTGTACATGTGATAAATTTTAATGTATTGTATTTTCACATAAACCTTGCCAGCCCAGAGGACCTGGGATATCAAAAACCATGCAGGTCCTCTGGCATTTCAAGCACTCATGACCAGTCATATAGACATTCTGTTTCCCCATGTCTGTGATTGTTTTTTTAATTGATTTATAAAGTTTGAATCTTTTAAGGTATCAATAATCAGGTCAAATAATGATAATAATAATCAAGTTTGATATACATGTATTGTTATCAGTCACTGAACAACCTGTATTTTGATACAAAAGTCATGCTATTTACTTCAACTATTTTTTTTGCCTAGATGTTGGCTACCTGGACAACAATTCCTATGAAGTTCTGCAGCCCACTGCATGGATACCACTTTTGGACTCTAATGAAAACAATGGTTGTATGCAGGTGAGATTCCTATTGATGCAGTTACGCATCAGCATTTACAGGATGGCAATTGTTTTCAGATGAATGGAAGAGGTGGAATTGACATTAGGTATTAAAGGAAAATATCAAAATCATGATTAAAATCACACCAAGGTTTTACCATCAGTGCTAGACAAGAGCACACTCCCTATTCTATGCTTCATTATAGTAGCTACCTCAAAGTTGTATTTGTTCTATGCAATAAAAGCACCACAAATGCTATATAGAAATATATTTTTTATGCTTTCAGAATAATTTATATGAAAGATTGATGATTTCCATCCATAGAAAAGATTGGGTCATTACAGTAATTAAAGGGAAGGTAGTGGTCTTTTAACCCCCACAGTTGACCCAACTAAAGAAATGGCATAAAGCTGAAATCAATCTTTGATTCAGATTGGGCCTTTTTTGGCCACCAGATTCTTTCAAACGTCCCCCCTCTCCATGCTACCCAACCATGGACCTACGTACAATGTAGCTCAATTATCACAGGTATGACCCGATTTTTATTTTTTCATTTTCTTTTTTTTTTTTTTTTTTAGTTAGTTAAGGGAGGTCACAAGACTGGACGTGTGGCGGAACACGAGTGCTGTGCTGGCAATACTTGGTACACCATGTTGACAGAGGAAGAAATGGAGAAAACCCTGGGTAACTTCCCACTGGAATTTTTTTTTCTCTCTCAATACTAGCATGATAAACGAGCACTTAGAAGAGTAGTAGAATAGTGGTATTTTTATATTACTGACAAGAGACCAATACCAGGAAGAAATGACTGAAGGTATTAATATAATCCAATTTAATTACACAGCAGTGAGCTGGTGTATTTTTTAAACACAAGGCAAATAGATGTTAAATGTTCAACAACACAGAAGAAAATAATGTCTTTAATGAACTACCGTATAGCTAAAAAAAAACACGACTATTGGTACGCGTATGATCGGTAACTGATTTAATTCTCGTAAAATTACCATCCGCCCCCTTCCTTATGAATAGGTATTACTTTATTAATACAATGCAACCGTCGTGTAGCCGCATGTTAGAAGACAATGTTTGAATACGCACAGCAGTAGGAGGCCGCTACCCCTTCCCAGCAAGGAGTCAACTAAGCCGCAGGTTAGAAGACAATGCGTGATTACTCACAGCAGTAGGAGGCCGCTACCGCTCCCCAGCAAGGAGTCAACACAGCAGTGCGTAACCCGGGGTTAATTAGGGGTTATTAGCTGTCCACTTATGATCGGTATTGTTCGTCTTGATTGCATCACACTTCCTACTCACTATTGGTTCGACCGCCTCTTCTTTAAATGCTCTCTCAAAACTTTCCTCAGTCAGCCGAGAATGGAAACACGTTTATCTGCCGATAAACTACGTCGTTGATGTATTATTCGGCATCATTCTACAGTGAGTCATAAGGCTCTATCTATCATTTTTTTTCGTCTCGCATTTTACCAGATTAAGCTGACGCTTGAAAACTAAATTTAATGAATAATTTTCTCACGTGCACCGTATCCAGCTAATTTTACGACAATAACTACCACGGCACCTCCACCATTTGCAATTGTAGACGAACCACGTTTTTCCAACTGATAGGCCAATACAACTATACCAGACCCATTGTACGAGAAAAGACCGTTTATATTTAATGAATTAAAAAACATTTGAGGATTGCGATTTTCTATTGATATACTATCGATGGTATCCCTGTATTAAATCATCCACTGCTACCCCCTCTTTTGTAGTGTAGCATGACTCGTATCACAAGATGGCCTTAGAAATGAAGTAAGACAGGCCTACACTCTGATAGTTTTTAGTCTATTATTAACCCTAATGTCGTTGCTTGTCATTCATTCTAGAACTCTCTGAGCCATCGCAAAATTATTTGCCAGGACATTTAAAGGCTACTTCTTAACGGATTTTTTTT